GTCCTACGCTTCACCTCTGCGAGGTCCGAGAACTTCTCAAAATTCGTCTACGATGGAATGTCTTTGAGAACGATCGAAGTTTCGAATGGTTTTCGATGTTTCTCCTACGAAATGGAATTCTACCTGTGGTTCCCCCGACTTTCTCCCGTCGTTGAGCCCGGCTGAAGGACAGAACGAAAGGTTCCCGACTTGGAAAGCTCACCTGTCTGTCATCTGATATCTAGATCTGAATGAATAGCTTAATTACTCGTAGATGTCCATTGTCGACTACTGCTTTCCCAGCTGAACTCTCCTTCTCTTTGGAATGGGCGAAAGCGGAGGAACAATGCGATCCCTGTGTCTATCGCGCCCACAGGTGTTTGACCCAGTTGTATGAGTTTGAGAAAGAATCTCCGAGACCGATGAGAAACAGATCCGAATGAAACGAAAAATGGCAGACAACTTGGACTTCTGGCAGACATCGCGCACCGGCCCAAGACTTCGGAGAACGCATCGGGAGAAATACGGGTGCTATCCCCGGATCGCTCATTGGCAGCGATTGCGGGCGCCGAAGCTGATGTTCTGGAAGATCCTGGCATGCTGGCGGGGTTTCTGCCGGGCCCACTTCCTGCTTTCCACAAAGCTAGGACGCGTGCGCGCGGCTCCTGTTGTCAACGCCGTTGACGATATTGTCACCAGTGGGGATATATTTGGTTTGGGCGCGGCGTGTTCATAACGCCACCACATTCTCAGACATGCTTTGTTTCAGATCAGCGCATCGTATGCTGTGTGATCTGCTTCGAGGCTACAGTTAGCTAACAACCGCTATAGCTAACCGCTCCCACGAGCAAGGGTGACAGCCCGGACGGCGTGCATCGACAACGCACAGGTTTCGAGCCGTGGCCTGTCGAGATCGCGATATCGAATCTTCCGGAGTCTCGTACAGTCTTGTGGTGGGGAAAAGGTTTTTCTTTCTGGGAATAGGCGAACTTCCTCATTGAAGATTCGTTTTCGGGACCTTGCCCCTTCCTTCTGATATCGTAGTCGGGATCATAGATCCGAATCATTGCATCGCCATCGGAAAACATCCAATCGACCGGAGCAGCAGACTCTCGCGACTCACACACAGAGGATCGGGGAATACCCCCTGCATAGAGCCGCAAATTAAAAACAAGAAGGATGAAAGCTTCGTTTTTTATTCGTGTTTCAAAACCTCCCTCACGTGCTTCTCTCTACCTCCCTCACCGACCCAGTTGACCCGCGGGCAGACTGTGCCCACCCATCCTATGGCCAAGAAACAGAGACCGAGCGGTCGGAGGCAGGTGGCCCTCGCATTCTGCCTCTCCGCGCATAGTGTATGTTCGAGGCTTGTGCGACGATTCCGTCTCGAAGCCGTTGTCTGCTGTTTTTCAATCCCCTCCTTTCCTTGTCTTTCGAACGATGCGCAATTTGCACTCGACACCGAACGGAGAGAACTCGCAAACAAGAGATTTACGAAATTAGGAACGAGAGCGAATGCAAGGCGGAGGAGGAGGAGGAGCGGGGTCTCCACTGGCAGATAAGCGAGCGAAGAGCTCCGGGAGAGGCTAAGTTTCTGAGACGGGATTTTCGGATTGGGGGAATTCCGAACGGGAGATACAGGAAGCCAGATGACGAGTCAGGCACAGAGATGGAAGAAATGATGGGAAAAAAATCATACACTCTGGGGCTTCCAAGAAATCTCTCGAGACTTGAAGTCATTCCCCAGGGAGAGATTGTAGGAATCGTCGCGACTTCGGATTGGCCCGACGCGAGTCAGTCGAGGCTGTGTCTACATTTCTGTGAGCGCCTTCGCTCTCGCGGCGATCCGCATGGATCACGGCGGGAGCTCACTTCGCGGGAACCGCTTCCAGCTCCTCAGGAAGTTTTCCGGTCCCCAGACGTTAGGGCGAGGTGGCACGGGTGCTCGATCTAGTTTCGGTGATGCTCGAATAGTTCCCTCTATCGCTAGTTATTCCACCTCGATCGGAGAGGATTCGGGAACATTTGGAAACAAAATGCTGTGAATGAGTCGCTACCTCTCCCCGAGTTATCTCACAGATGCGACTGCCCGGCTGAATATAAGTAATAAATATATTTATTACAAAGCCGTCGTCGGTGCCCCGTATCTGTGTGGCCTAGCTGCCGGATAGCTAGCTGCCCGGACGACGACTATGACGACGACTCGGAGACACCGGGATTACACTCCAGCGGTCTTGAACATTGCGCTCGCCTTATGAGTCCCGTTTGTACTGCTCCGGATGTCGTCAGAAAGACCTGAGACCCATGAGAGCGTGACAATCATTCGAAGATGCGCTACCGGGCTTGTATCGTTTGCGATCGAGATGGACGCTGTTGGACCTCTAACGAGAGATGTCGCGCTGTTCTTCACGAAAATTCACGCAGGTTCATATAGATTCGAAATGTGCGCCGAGTGGGCGGGAGTTCATCTCGACAACGGACTGATGCCTGAGTCGGGACTCGCTTCTGCGGCGAGTTGGGGGATCTCCGGCTCGGGAGGGGAGTTCAAGAGACAGGGAGGGAATTAGAAAGACTCAAAAAGAACGGCGTCGATCCGGAAAGGCGACAAACACGGAGAGGGAGAATAGAAGGGACCAATCGAGAAAATCGATGGCCATAAAAATATCAGGTCACCTCTTTCCGGCGTCGCCGACGTCGTCGACGGGATCAATTGCCGGAGACACCGTCAACTGTCGACGGCTATCATGTTCTATTGGAAATACATACGACATTACGACAGCCCCACTTAAACCTCCAGACACGACTTCACTTTGTTCGGGACAGCTGAGAGGATTGAGATAACGACAATTGAAACAGGAGAGAGACTTCAGAGGACCGAGCTCTCCAAAGTATGGGAGGAGGAAAGAGAGCGACTTTAAGCGGGAAAGAAAGCTGGTAACGGAGCGATATCGACCCTTGGCGTTGCATTTCGCGTGCGGCGGGAGTGCACGGGAGGCGGCTGTTCGACGACTCGAACACGAAGAACACAAACTTTTCGTCGACTTGTTCGAACACCGGTTCTCGACCGACCAAAAATATCTGTGCAGACAAATGAGTTTTTTAATGAGTTCATTTTCGTATGGGCTCGCAACCGATGAGCGATGGAACTCCAGAAAAAACACCGCGGCGGCTAGCAAACTCAAACAGGCTTCGCGCTCGGTTTCGTCTATTTTACGAATTTCTCCCGGACCACCTTCGATCCTTATGCCCTCCCGTCAAGCTGGCGCTCGAACGCTCGCTTGTGAGAAAGATCGATGTCGTTCCTCTTCTCCCTTCCCCCTCCATCTCCGGGACTCTGAGCGAACTTGTTGGGCCGGCCAAGGGCGCGAATCGACGAAGCGCTGGCAATAAGCTTGATGGGACTTCTTACTGATGGACGAACTCAGATTCAGGACGCGGCCTTCCTGGAACAAAGAAATGTAAAGTCGATGGATGAGTGCCAAGCGTATTTTCCTAGACCATCGGTCCACGACATACCTTTCATCGGCATCGCGAGGACCTCACGCTCATGGCCGATTCTCACGTGTGGGGGACTTTCTCTCGCCCGAAAATCTGGAACTAGACGTTCGGATCACCTGGAGCACCGTAATAACTTCGCGATTTCCCCTATTTCGATTGCAGTGTAATTTAGTGTACAAACAAGATCCTTTATCAACGGCACTCACGTCGTCGTGGACACACCCGATCAGCAACAATGAAGCCATAGTGCGATAAGAGAATAAGGCCATTGTTACATGCGACTACGATTCTCTTCTTTGCAATGAATTGCTCGAGGGTCCGTGGAAAGCTTGCTTGGACTATGGCTACGTCACGATCCTTCGGCTCAGGGTTCTTATGAGCACAATAATTCGCAATAGACCCTTTATCTTTATACCAGGTCCCCAAATATTCATAGGCTTCGAGCCACAAGAGGGATATCCACGGAAGGAAAATATCGTCGGTCACCGCAGCCGAATCCGCGTTCCCTATTCCCGTGATCTCTTGTCCCAGCAATTGCCCGGTTCTAGGAAACAGCAAGCTCGGATCGAGGAGTCTTGCCATCGGGGTCTCGAAGCTGCAGAAGAACGCACGGGGAAGTCCACCGCTCGAACTGTCGATGCGCCGAGGTCTCCCATACGGCGGGAGTCCGAGGTACCTTGGTAGGGTCCGAACGCCACTTTTTCGAGTGAAGCCCGCTGTTGTCAATGGCGGGATTCCGTCCGTCTGTTCAGCCGAGTCAGCTCCTCTCGATGCAGGAGCTCAAACGAAGATCGGACTCAGCTCGATATCAATTTGTATAACAATGCGATGCACTCATTCTCATATATGATGATTCCTGGCTGCATCGGCGGCGCTAGCCCCAGCAGCTGCAGCAGAAGCACTACCGCGGTACAAAAGGTGCTATTGTGCGTTTGTGAGCGATGCTTCGTCCTGGCTCTCCGAAGGAGTGACGTCGAGCCTGTCTATGGGTCATAATTGGCCTTGCTTCGGGAGCAGGTGGAAATCAGCGCGGACTCACTTCCAAGTATCTTGTTATATATTGCGATCCTGGGAATTACCCATGAGAGCTGCGATTGCTCTTCTGCGAGCAGAATCCTTTCCGGAATACCCTACTCGGGTCGGAAATTATATTCTTGGAATCGGAGGATCTCTAGCAAATAATTTTCTCGGAATCGAATGATTTCCGGAAAAGAATTTCCTCGGAATCCAGTTTCAGAGAACTCAGACTCCCCCTATGAAGACTCGGAGTTCTGTACTTCGACCGGAGAAATGCTAAAGATCTTTTTTAATCGAGTTTCAGGTGTCCGTGTTTGTTCTGTTTGCGTTGCGATGCTGACAGCCTCCGAGCATGGATTCGTCATCTTCGTTGAGAACCTGCAACGTCTTCTAGTTTGCGGAGAACCCTCGATGAATTAGCAGCGAGGGAAACGAGACTGTGCATACAGTTCCCGATTCCGATCCGACCCGGACACGACGTCATCAGCCAAAGCGAACCTTCCGAGATGAAGAGCATACTCGTCGCGCTCACCGTCGTCGCCGTCGCAGCCCTGCCCGCGACGGCCTTGCGTCAGCGAAGTTTCCGGGAGAATTTCCGTAGATGCCCGCAGAACTGTGCCTGTACAGTAGACATGAATCAGGGGAAGAAGGTCATATGCGATCAAGGAGGTCTCCGAGAGATGCCCATCCTGAACATGGACGGAGACACGCAGGTCTTCCACTTCACAGCTCCGCCGGACCTCCCGAACAACTCGACCTTGGGTCGCCTGTTCAGCTACTTCACGAACCTCGAAGAGATCCGAATCACGCATTCGCAGATTCCTGCGATCGGCGAAAACACCTTCCACCCGTTGCGGAAGCTCCAGATTCTCGATCTCTCGTTCAACAATCTCACGACGGTGATCGAGAAGGAGTTCTACGGCCTGATCGAGCTCAAGGTCCTCAATCTCTCAAACAACCAAATTTCGAAGTGTCCTTCAGCGCCTTTCCGGTATCTGAAGAAGCTCACGTCGTTGATTTTGAGCAATAATCGGCTGCAGCTAGTTCCGAGACTATTCTTCATGCTGAAAAACCTACAGAGGCTCGACCTGTCCGGCAACCCGCTGAACAGCATCGACCCCGACGTCTTGAAGGATCTTCGACCTGTCACTAGACTTTACCTCGCTCGCTGTAATCTCAGTACCCTGCATTCGCTCGTCTACCAGAACCTCCCGAACCTTGAGCATCTCGATCTAAGGGTGAGTTCCTGAGCGATTCTCCATCGCCAACAATGCGCCCGCGTCCCCCCGAATGCGCACCAAGATCAAGGAAACTGAGATACGCGGATCCCCCCGATTTTCCGGAGGACCCACCGCGTTTAACCCATTTCCTGGATCGTCCGGTCATGAACGGTCACTGGTGCTCTGATAGCGACGTGAATTAGACGAGTCTGACAACATGACGACGAAGACGAGTTTAATTAAGGCGCCACTCCGGAAACAAATGCTCATCGTCTGTTTTCGTTTCACCCTGCTTTTTGGACAAGCTGGGTAGGACGGCGCGTCTTTTGCTGTTCGCCGCCGCTTCCTCTGCTGGCGCCGCGATGACTCGGAAAAGGCGTCGGACACAAGTGCTTCGCAAATGAGCGGGTGCACAGACACATTGTTTCAGAGAAATACATCGACGAGAGTAGATCTACTCTGATTGACGCGACAACACGGAATCCTCTTTGTTCGGAACCTGACGCTGCCACAACAAGTCTTCTCTCCGCAGAAGAACAATCCTCACGCACGGACACAGTAGTCGAACGAGGATGTCGCTAACCCGATCACTTGGAGAGTCCCAACTCCAGAGTAGTTGAAAGCGTCCCATCAGAGTCGGAACATCGCTTTTCTAATGATCTATTTCCATCGGACGGATTATGGAGAATATGTTCCGATCAATCACAATCATCCCGCAGTTGCGTGTCGGACAATCCAATGACTGATTAGTTTCCGACGATGATGATCAGGCCCAATGTTATCGAGGCAATGCCTTATGTCCTTATGCCTCTTTTCTCAGGATAATAAGTTCACCTACCTTGCTCCCGAGGAATTCCGGCACCTAACGAAGCTTCAGTATCTTTATCTGGATGGTAACACGCTTACCACCTTAAAACACCGAACCTTCGCCGGACAAGCCCTCAAGCAGCTCGGTGAGTCGATTCTCGGAGTCCACGTTAGCGTGCCCCCACATTCGCATATGAAATTCACCGAGCTTTTCGCATCGAGCTCCGAATTACAATTCTCGCCTTCGCAGAGATGTAGAGATGAGCGCTCTCAATTCGGGAAAAATCGAAACTCGGTTCTGAATGGATGTTTCGTTTCTCAGTGAAAGCAAAACTCGTTTGAGAGAAAGTTTCCAACCCGCTACTAGGAAAGCTGCTGCCTCCGATCGTTTAGCGTGTGATTAAGCAAACAGCCAACCTATTGTTCCAGGCCTCTCGCGAAACTCTATAACGACGATAGAAGAGTGCGCGTTCTGTAATTCGAGCATCTCCGAGTTGAATCTCTCCCGGAACCGACTGGAATCGTCAGTTGGGGATCCCCTTCGTGCTCTGTCTCTCTCGATAGAGAAACTCGACCTGTCCTACAGCCCCACGCTGCGAGGAACCATAGTCGCCGAGCTGATCCAGAACCTGCACAAGCTGAGCGTTATCAATCTTGAAGGTCGGTGTCCAAGAGAAGAGACATCGGTCAGCTCAATGATTTCTCAATCAGTGGTCCGCATACTGAGATCGAGTATTTTCTCCTGAATTCCAGGTATCGGTCTGTACGATCTGCCGGCGGCAACGTTTTCTCCACTAACCAATTTGCGTCAACTTTATCTCAACAATAATCGATTCAGCGAGTTCCGTTACTCGTTGTTCCAAGAGCTCCGCAAACTCGAAGTGCTTAACATTTCGCACAACAATCTCAAGTTTCTGCGATCTTCGATAATCCGGTCGCTGAACGATACGAACACGCGCGTGATCATGCACGATAATCCATGGAAATGTCAGAAATGCTACATGATCCATATGCTCAAGTAAGTACCGGAAAACATTGAGCACGAGGCTCTTCTAAGCCACGAGACTCATGATTGTTTGATTAGCAAAACAATATCCATTTGTTTGTTCTCCCCTTGCAGTTTTTTGAGCCAACGCCCCATCGAAGACAACGTCAAGCCTCCGCTGTGCGCCGATCCCGCCAACGTGCGTGGGAGGGACCTCTATCACGTGCGGATCTTCGAGCTCGACGAGTGCAACAACCCCATTCTTGAGCCTCGGGTTTCGGGCACCGAGTCCCAGGTTGGACTCGTGGTGGCAATAATTATCATCATGGTAATCGTAACGATCATCGTAGCAACAATTGTTATTTACAAGACGCAAGGGGCTGTGTATTACACTCATGAGGAAGACCGCTCAAGAGGATCGCTCAGCTACGATAACCTCGGCTGCAAAGAAGGTCTCGACAGTAAGAGACCTTCGATTGTCGCAACCATAGACGATACAATAAGCCGCAGTTCATAGCAATCGCAGCTGAGCTCTGGCAGTGGGGGCAGCGCCTAAATTGACGGCGCGAAGCTACCACGGTCTGTCTGCCTTGGTCGCAGTCGGATTTTGTTCAGAGCTCGAGGCGAATCCGCCTTCTCTACGGGATTAGAGAGATACGGGGAGAATATAGGGAGTTACTAGCCATGCGAATGCATATCTCGTCACATTTTACAAAGAACCGTTCACAACCCCATCAGTTACTCAGCGAGGCCCGAGTCAGCGGGAGAGTGCGACAAGGGCCTCGGAAGTTCCCAGGGATGTTTTGTGAGGTCTCCGTTTCTTCTTGGAAGGGGAATGACTCGCCTCGTCACGTAAAACGTGCGGCGCGTCGTGACTTTCCGAGGATGCTCACCAAGGCGGGATATCAAATCAGGGGTGCTGTTTCCCTGAGCACTTCCGCTCTCATTTGAAATCGTTCCTATATCCGGACTCAACCTCGAATCATCGACAGAGGGTGGATGGGTTCGGCCGCCGCTGCAGCGTCGAATTCTATTCTGAAGTAAGTATTCGATAAACTCCCGTGTCGAACACACGCTGACGTCAGAACGGGGAATGAGAGAGATTATCCATCCGATATGTACGGAAATGATATCTTTGAGATCATGTTTTTTCGGAACCAGGAGTCATGAAATTGGCATCGATGGGGGAGCGGTTTCTCGGAATGCCTTAGCAATCGGTGTCAGTCCGATTGGGGCTTCTCTTTCTTGAAAGACACACTGTTTCGAAGTGAATCTCGATGATTAAGGCGTCGTTGCCAAAAACCTGTACAGAGTCGTGTAGAATTGAACGAGAGAGAGCGAGAGAAAGCTAGTGTGTAAACAATGAGGTCGAGGAAAAATACGAGCCGGAACGAGAATCGACGACAACAATGGCAAAGAGGCATGCTGTTCGTGTCTCTGCTATGCCAGATCCCATTAGCTTGAGCAGGTTTGGTATTTTTTTTCGAGAAAGGAGGAGAAGGGAAAGCAGAAACATTCCAGATTCTGAAAAGCTACGTCAAGTGACAGCAAATCTTCCGTTCGATCATTCTGTTAGAGCTTTCGTAGGTGGCGCCGAAGCGAATAATCGATTCGAGAAAATCCGACTAGACACCGAGCTGACGTTTGACGCTAAGCCTTGCATTCAAGCATCGGAGGACAAGGAATGAAGATTCCCGTTGAGTTTTCCTTGGAGCAGAAGGAGTCGCGATGCGTTCTATCATATAATACAACAATCAGTTCCGAAAACTGATCCTAGGGAGAGGAACAGCAACAATCACGACTAAGGATGGGAGTTATAATAGTTAAATCACCTTATACAAGAAATTGGCACCTCAGAGTGTTTTTCACGTTTTCCAAGGACTGATGAGTGCGTCCTGTGTCTCGAGGGAGGCCGGCAGGAGCAAAGGCGCATTTTTAACATGAATGACGACTCGTGTTGTACAAAAAGGAACAGAATGAATGAGAAATCATGAGGATAATTGTCTCTGCTGTGAGTGAGCGTTTATTGACGCCACGGAGATATGAATGGTATGAAAATAAAGGTTTTTGAACGACTGAATTCCCAGGTCTTTACTCTTGATGAAGAAAATTATTCAAAAATTGCGGCTGCGCTCGCAGAATCATTGAACGATGGGATTGGTAATCCTTCAACAGCTCTCTTCTATACGCTGTTCGGAGAGCGGATATTTGCGTTGTCTCCCAGGATCAGCGTGATACCGCTCGCACACAAATGAGTTGGATATCGGAGCGACTCCTCATCGAAGGTCGGTCTCTTTTCAGTACTCAATCCGTTGAGCATCCATTTCAGTGCCTGAGACATGGATATGAGATATGTCCTTTGACTGTGAGAAGACGATCAGATACTTTGGTTTCGCGAATATTTTTTGAGCTAGAAATCAGATGGACGCAGCTTCCTCGCCCACAGATCTCGTCGGACTGGGACCAGGAAGTGGAAAGGGATCGCATCGAACGACAACAAGCTCGCCCGGCTCTACCGAAAGTCAACGGCTGAGCGCCCTGGGCCCGGAGATAGAACTCCTCCTGCTCTGTAAGCCTCCATCCATATCCATTGGCACCCCCAGCTTGGCCGTCAGGTACCGTCCCTACCTGGAGCCCCCACTTTTGTCCTCCCCCTTCTTCCTGATAGGCGTTCCCATCACGCGACCTCAGTGCCTTCAGTGATTTCTGCCGCCGCCATCTCTTCAGGCCCATCACGAGCGTAAGAGAGAGGGTCAGATATAGGGGAACGTGGATAAGAGGGTGAGGGGGAAGGGGGAGAAGCGATAAAGGGGGAACCCAGACCGACCACGAGGGAAAAGCGGAGGTCGTGTTGAGGAAAGGAAAGAGAGGGAAGCTCTCACGAAAGGCTTAATTGCTTGATGCGGTGCCGTAGTTCGTCCGTCCATTACGTTCGGAGGCTCACACATCATGTCTTTGCGGAACCGCGTAGGACGCCGACCACGGGCTTAGTGCAACCAGGGGTCAATGCACGGATGATTGAGGGGTCTGAGAATATAGAGATCGCGAGGTAATTGGAGCTCATGGATTCACTTACAAGCGATGCTCGAGAAATCCACGATATGCAGAGCACGAAAATCATGAAGTGCCGCAACGCTGAGTAGGCGATAACGAATTCGGATCGAGGCACACTCTCCGACTCTCCGCCTCCGAGGCAGCGTTGGGCACCGGGAGAAGAATTGGCGGACACACGATGTGACCGTTCACAGTTCCACTGGTTAAATGTTTCTCATTGCTACCAAAAGAGAACTCTCATCAGGAGTCCGATGATTCCATTCTCACGGAAAAGACGCGAACGGCTCGAGTTTGAACACTCTGGGAACTTCTCGATGCCGTTGGCTCGTTCACCAGCTCGATGCGGGAGGGCTATCGTTAGGCTCTTGAGGGAATCGAATTACGCTGCGCTGATTGCTTTGAGAAAAGCAAGTCGACAACGCGGGCTGCGTGTATCCAGGAAGTGACTGAATATCGCGTGCAACAAGCCACCTCGTTCAGCCGGCTAACCAGCGCGCAGGGCATCCTGGCCAGCAAATGAGCAAGCACCTTCTCCTGCCGCCTTCCACGGGTGAGCGATTTGCGCTGCGGTTCGCTTCCCCGAGGATTTCCGCCCGCTCACGTTCCGTGAATCATAGGCATTTTCCAAGACCATCCGAGACGCCCTCAGAGAGGTCCTTAATCCAATCAGGGAACAGAGTTAGTGGTGTGGCGTGATACTTCGACAGGCTCCCGGAATCATAGGTGTCCCCCAAGACGAGCCCGAAGGTTGCTGGACATCTTATACGACGAATAAATAATTCCGAATCAATGGGAACGAATGAACGATTCCCCCAGATACCCACACTCATCGATCAATACGATTGAGCACGGATGGCGGCATCTATAACTTCTGGTCGTGATGTCAAGGGAACTGCGCTAAGAGAACCTACTATAAATGGTTGTTCACTAAAGCTGCGACACTCTCGGTATCATCCTCTGGTGGAGCTCAAAACGGCAACGGTGACCCATGTGCGCAGCTCCGACGCTCAGGGTTCAGGAGGAAGTGTTTGCTCCGACCAAGGGAGCCGAAGAATAGACTTCTTCCTAAATGGAATACCGACCCCCACGGGGCGGGTAGTTCTTACTCCTCTCTCGGTCCCCGAGTTTCACGGACCGTTCAAGTTTGTATCAAGTTCAAACGAAGGAAGCAAGAGTTGCTCGGTCGCACATCATTGACCGGGTGGCGACAACAGAAGCAAGCGTCTAGAGTTGTATGTGCAGTTGTCCCCGTGACAGGAGGGCAGGAGTTTCACGCTTACAGCCTCCCGATACCGGCAGCTTCATCGGACTAGAGTGTGGAGAATCGAGGAAATCTCGATGGAGGGAGACCGCGAGAACAGGCTCGGACTTTTTCGATCGACTTTTTCCTCCTTAGCTTTCCGATTTGATTCTCGGACACTCTCTCGACCCTCGTTGCAAAGTATGACAAGATGCGTTTACCACGGCGTACTACGTACTACGGCGTAGCGCCTTGTTCCCGCGCAAAATAAAAATCTCTTGATGCTGCGAAAACCCGGATTTATCCCCGATTGCTGTCCGACGCAGGATTTCGACCCGGGCTCATCTGCTACGCGACATGAAATGAGTGGAATTAGTCCGCTCCCGGACTCTGCTGTGATTTTTTTCGGCCGCCTTTAATAAGCTCACGTTATCAACGAACCAAGTTTCCAGAACGTATCGAACCGCAAGCCAGTGCTTAATTCTGCGGTCCGTTTTAATATCGAACAGACGGTGAGTTGGGCTGTCATTCCTCTGCCGGTCATAAGCGGCTGTCGTCGTTGTACTCGACAAGGAAACCACCCTTAATTATAGGTAGAGGGTGATACGTCGCTGACGAAGCACTTCTACTGCCTTGCCAGATGCAATCCGACAACTTTCAGCTGGCACGGAAGCACTTCGGAATATCGAGACACCAAGCCGTACTCAAAACCAGAGTCTCCCGCGGATCGCAATCGGACCGGAGACTAGACCGAAACCTTGAATCCTATGCTTCTCGATGATTCCCGAGTCTGTAGGAGCTAGACCACCGACACAGAATAAAACGGACCACCCTCAACCGTACCCCTCACAAAAAAACTTCTCATTTCCGAACGGATTCAATATCTCACTTAACGAGCCTGAATCAGAGAGCTTCGAGCGGTCGGACATATGAGCGAAATTCAGCAGGTACCGAGCAGATGGCGGAGCTTATCTTTCCTCGAGTCCGACTTCCCGAATGTTAATGATCAACCAACCGCCCTCCGACGTATCGTAGGGCCGCCAATGACTTGCCTGCTAGATGACGAGGGCGGAGGGCGATTTTTTTGCACAAAATTACAATCCCAATAAACTGTGCGAACTATCCGAAAGTCTGACTGAGTCGGTGACACCTAGGACGCGGGACTCCGACAGTTCTGTGTCATTGTGCTTGCTCCTATAATTCCCAGACGACCGCAATAGACC